AATCCATGGGGTTTTCTGCCCTCTACAGTCAAATTTGGGATATAACAGTCCTGTGTGCAGTCCAGTTAAGTTAAAAAACCCAAATAATCAACACATTAAGAGATAATGTTATAACATAATAAAGAAGGTCATACAAATATATCTTATTTGCTCAGATAGTTAACAAGCTACCCAGAAAGTAGAAAATTACAAATACATGACATGACACTGACCTTATCACCTTTCCTGAGGCGTCTCTGGAAACAGTGTTGAACAATAATGGAACAAAATCTGGACTATCACAATCCACCGACGGTGCTCCTGAAAAGAGAAAGAAATAAAATTAGCTCTGCTTATTGTTTCTTTTAACCTGTTTTAACCTATTTGCTATGTTACGAGCTCAGCCATAATGAGCACCAATAGCACAAGCATTAACGTTAATTCAGAGTTAAAGAAAATTGTACACTACATGCAACATTAGCTGTTTGAAGACACTTTCCCGTCTGATTTTCAGCCTGAACCAAGAAACCTAAACCAGCCATGCAGCTAATGTTAGTACCGAACAACAAAAGCTAAACTTGACGTTACAACAGAGAGCCAATGTTAAACTTTACAAACGTTAAAGTAGAAGACAGAGAAATTTGTTGGCCAGTTAGTTAGGCTATGACCTACTGAATCAAACTAACATTGTCTCATTAACTATGGTAAAATCACACGCTTACTCATTATCCAGCTCATGTTGGCAAACACAAACATGCCAGACACGAAGTGGGCACTGCACAGACTCTCGCCGCCTTTAGGGCCTTCGGGACCCCAATCCGCCCTTTTAATGGCCTGGAGCCATAATCTTCTTCTTTTGGCAAACGGATGAGATCCCCTGGGGATATTATACAATTTCCATCCGTCATTTTGCCAGTTTGTGCAGTTAAGAGCACAACAACTCCTTGTCATTTTCTTTTGCTGCTTGACTCCTCCAGTAAACAATGAGAAATGTCCCACTTTCTGCCCCCAGGCTGCTATGGCAAGCCGTTTTAACATTTAATCGCTAGACTGGATATTCATTACTGATATCTGCAACATAATTTTGCCTAGTCAAAACTCTTATTCAAGATATCTGTAATTAGATTTTGCCTAGTCAAAACTCTAATTACAGATATCTGTAATTCAGTTTTGACTAGTAAGATTTAAACTATTTTTGCCATTCATGTGTATGGGGTTTGTCATTATAGATATCTCCAATGTAGCTGCGGATATCTGCAATTGTTATTGCGGATATCTACAACTGAATTGTGGATATCTGTAATTCCAGTTTGAGATATCTACAATTTAATTTTGACTAGTCATAATTCAAGTTCAAGATATCTTTAATTATCATCAATTGAAGATATATACATGGTCCTTTCTAGATATCTTGAATTGAGTTTCAGATAGTCAAAATGACAAACCCCATACACATGAATGGCAAAAATAGTTTGAATCTTACTAGTCCAAACTGAATTACAGATATCTGTAACTGTAGTTTTGACTAGTCAGAATGACATTATAGATATCTGTAATTCAGTTTTGACTAGTCAAAATGACGTTACAGATATCTGTCATTCAGTTTTGGCTAGTCAGAATGATGTTTAAAGATTTGTAACAACAGAAACGTGAACTTTCACACAGAAAAGCTTGATTCATTTCAATGAAAATATAAGATGATAAATTAATTAATATAAAATGTTCTTGCCAATCAAGACCTCACACATTTAAATGTAGGATTATTCAGTGACTTTCAAGGCCTTATATGTTTGATTTAAAAAAAATCATTTAGAATGGTTTATGACCTTTTAAGAACCTGAAGACAAGGTTCAAGGTTCAAGGTTGCTTTATTTGTCATGCATCATGTACATGCTGAACGAAATACAGTACTCCGTTCTCAGTGGAATAATAAATAAATAAATAAATGCAGTATATACCTAGAGAATCTAGGAGCCCACCCTGAAATCCAATCTTTTAATTTAAGTAGTACTATAAATATGTATGTGTAGGGATTTAAATTTGGGCTTCACACGGAGGCCCCAAATATGTTGAGTTCTATCTGAGCTGGTCCAGGCCCAGCAGGAAAAAGGTGTGGGCTGCTCCGCTGTTCCCGAGTAAGAGAGAGATTTGTCTGAAGGGAGCAGACCTTCTACAGATGCCTGTGACATCAGAGTCACATGTCACTGTAAAAGTCCTGTCCAATCAAGTTTTGGGACTTGAGTCTCACTGAGGTGTGAGGTGAGACCTGTGGAGATGGGTGTCACATAGCTCTCTTTGTTTGAAGACAAAGAGCATACAGAGGAAAAAGCCTTCAAATGTCCCGTTTAGATTTTAACAAATGGCAAATCATATGTGGTCCTGTGAATCCCAACATATGTTATGCTACAAAAATCCTAAAAAAAAAAAAGTACTGAGGCAGGAGCCTGGTAATGTTTAAGAGGTAATACTACACTATACTTTAGCAGATATATGGTCTAAAAGTGCAAAAGGTCTCCACCATTCAGCAGCCTTACTGCATCTGGGAAAAATCTGTTTTTCAGCCTGGTTGTCCTTGCCTGGATGCTACACAGCCGCCTGCCTGAGGGGAGAGGGTCAAACAGTCCGGGGTGGGTGGAGTCCCTCATGATGGCACTCACTCTGTCCTTGCATTTGATGGTGTAGATGGATGACAGAGATGGCAAGCTGCAGCCAATGATCCTCTGTACAGAGGGTGATGCAGGAAGTGAGGATGCTCTCCACCACACACCTGTAGAAGGACTTGAGGATGTCTCTCTTCAAGCCTGCCATGTGAAGTGAAGACACACTGGTTTAGATGCAATGCAAAGGTTTTAAGAATAGGAGTTTAGCAATTCAGTTTGTCCGTGAGGGGGAGAAATACAGAAGGGATAAGTTAGTAAGGAGGCAAGGGTGTGACCGCCTAGAAGGTGCTTGTGATTGGGAAATGCAAGTAGATTTAGGGGGAAAGTTTGTTGTTCCCCAGGAAATAGTTTGTACCAATCACAGGCCTGACATAGTGTTGTGGTCAGTGAGTCAACAGATAGTTTATTTCATTGAGCTGACAGTTCCTTGGGAAGACTCATGAAAGAAAAAAGCTTAGGTATGCAGACTTAGGAGCAGAAGCTGAACAGCGAGGATGGAAAACTAGGATTTGTCCAGTGGAAGTGGGGTGTAGGGGATTCATAGCATTCATAGTTTATCCTCTCTAGCTCCTTTAACTTATATTGGAGTTATGCTATGTAGTGTGTGAAACAGACTGTGGTGAATGTGCTAGGAAAGGTAGTATCAGCACTGCTTCTACCTGGAGCTCGCATGTATGGAGCCTGGGTTTGTTGAAGGTGGCAGTGCTGTTTGGGCTGAGAAAGCCATGTGTAAGTAAGGTAAAGGAGGTTGTTGGGTTGGTGCAGGGAGCAGTGAGAGCTGGCATTAGGGGAGTGTCTCTGGGACACCAGAGATCACTGTGTAGCCTCCTGGAGGTGTCGTGGGACCAACTAGATGAAACACTGGTGAAAGGAGGTTCCCACCCGATGACCCCAAAGACATGTTAGTTATCACTGCTCACTGGTCTGTATAGTTAAGCCTTGCCATAATAGCTTATCATAGGGCTTAGGAGGTTATTCACTGAGTGCTGATTCTCTAGAACACAAACTTCTTGTGTTTATTTGAATTCAACTGACATCCATAACAATAAAACTGAATTAATTTAAGTGTGATTTAAGTTATGATAGGATGATTGTTCATTTACCCTCTGAAACCTGAATATTATTTTTTAAAAAGCATGGGAAGAAGGTAATGAGCATCAAAAGAATAAATGACACAAAAAAATCAGTAAGAAATTAAAATAAATAAAACCAAAACATTAGTTTAAAAAAAAGGAGAAAGAAAAGAAAAGAAAGTTAAGAACAAACAAGCAATCAAGGAAATTACCTGGAAAACATGTTTAAAAATTATAATAATTCTGTAACATAATGTAATGATAATTATAAATTTCATTTCTCCCTAGCTTTTAAAAAAATATTTCTCTAAATCTATTAATGTTTTTGCAATTTGTGGAACATTTCTTACCAAGTTGCTCCTTGCCTTCCCGCCCACTTTTATGAAAGAAATCACACCAATTCGCTCAGGGGTCAAAGGTTTTATGACTCGCTACTGGTGTCTGAAAGCAGCACAAGAAAAGTGGTGTTGATCTAAGTTTCAAAGGGTTAATTAAGCTAAGTCAGCATTAGTATAATCACATATAGGGATTTATGCCACAAATCTGTGTTTGTGTGTTTAAGGTCTGTGGCATGCAAATATGAAGCACTGCCATAAAGGCTGTAATAGGCATCAATCATGTAATACAAATGACTGCTATATAGCTAATACTATACTGATCACCTCTGACCTACTTTAAACTTTTTAACAGGTAAAATACGCTCAAATAAGTTAAATAATTATCCCACAGTCAGACCCCAGTTTCTAAAAACGGGATGTCTGGAAACAGAAAGTGTGTTAATGGAGCATGAGAGCTGGAGGAGGGACCAGCTCGGGCGGAGATCTGATTGACAGACATTTTAGCCAATCACAATTCATGTGGCAGAGAGGCGACACCGCCCTCTAACGGTTACCTTCAGCATGTGCAGTTTGTGTCGTTCAAATGTAGTCACATTGCTCGGAAAAATGCCTTTCACCACGCAGTACTAAATACAAGAAGCATTAATAATTTCATTTACCTCCCATTTGACTTAACGAAGCAACGTCAGCATACATAAGTGTCATTTTTGTGGTTTAAACGGGCGACAAACTTGGTAATTATCAACCAATGGGAACTGACATCAAAACGATTAGTTGTTATTAGCGCTACAGTGGGGAATAAACTTGTAAACATGACTGGCATCTACTTTAGTTCGTTCAGACATGATTTCAGATTTATAAATTAAGATATTTTATATTCAGTTGCTTTAAATTGTAAGCTAAACGCGCAAATTCTCCACTAGTTTCTATATCTCCTAGTGGTACCTGAACGCAACACTTTTGGCAGTTTGTGTGTGCTTGGCAGTAACGGTACAGTCAGCGTCTGCAGCCGGACTACAAGTCAAAATGCCCGCAGATTTGAGCCAGTGGACCGGGCCTCTTGCCCTGCTGGAGGTCGAGGAGAAGCCTGCGAAGCCTCTGACTGTTAAATACGGCTCTGTGGAAATCGACGAGCTCGGCAAAGTGCTCACGCCAACACAGGTTAGTTAGCTAACTAATGTTGGCTAGCCATGCTAACAACTTTGCTAATTTAGCGTCGTTCCTGCGTTAGCTTAAAAGTTAGCATATTCGTAGCACAGTGCTAACACATTTCTTGTAACAAATGCTGCTTTGTAATTGATTATTGGGTGTCAGCGTGTTTGCAAACAATGGACTGGGTTACATAATGCCTTCAGCGTGTCTGCAGCTGTAATAGACGGTGAATAGCGCCCTCACATGGGCGTTACAGCTGCTAAAGCTCGGGCATGCAACCAGCTAAACATTAGAGTGACGCACCAGTTTTAATAGTGTTCACATGTGTTCACACGCAGGTGCAAAATCGACCCACTTGCATCGAGTGGGAAGGATGTGACCCCAGTAAACTGTACACTCTGGCCCTGACCGACCCTGACGCTCCCAGCAGGGAACAGCCCAAATTCAGGTGAGAGGAGCAGCCACAGGAGGGTGGAGGGAGGTGCGGAGTGGCTACAACATTGTGGAGGAGTAGCTGATGCATGTGCATCAACTCATGGGAAATGCAGTCCCCAAATAAAGTAAATAATATGAAAAATAAAGTTGTTATATTGGCAATAAAATGCAAGTAGTGGTTGGAAGCGAAGGGGGGAGGGGGGGG